AAAACTACAAAACACGACACAGAGACAAACACAGACTGTGTGTGTGTGTGTGTATGTATATATATATATATATATATATATATATATATATATATATACACACACACATACATACACACAAAGTTATAGCATATTTTCTATTTTTAAGTTTGTTATTTTTTTATTTTTAATAAACTCAGCAAACAGAAGTAAACTTTGGATGAACAGAACCTGTAGTATAAAATGAACAGAAACTGTAGTATAAAGTCAGGTATCCAGGTAAGTCAGCAGTTCGAGAAAATAAGTCACTAATTTGAGTTAAACAGTCAGCATTATTATTATTATTATTGTTATTATTATTATTATTATTAGTAGTACTAAATACATATTTTGACTAATTACTGCCAGAAACAGAGAAGAAGCAGCAGCCCTGGACAGGCTGGACCCCCACACTGAAAACTGACTCAGTGTTTTACCTTAAACAAGTTAATAACCTGGCTGCCTTAAAATGTTGAGTTCATTGAACTTCAAATGATAAATTAACAGAAAGATTATTGATCTGTTAACTTAAAATTTTAAGGCAACCAGGTTATTAACTAATTCCATTTTGCGCTGCACACACACGACTGCTCACTCCAAATATTCAGTTTTATTAGCTATTTTGCTTTATATATATATATATATATATATATACATACACACACACACACACACACACATATATATACACATATATACATATGCAACTGCATGTATGTACAGTCATGGCCGAAATTGTTGGCACCCCTGAAATCTTTCCAGAAAATGAAGTATTTCTCCCAGAAAATTATTGCAATTACACATTTTGTTATACACGTTTATTTCCTTTGTGTGTATTGGAACAACACAAAAAAACAGGGGAAAAAAGCCAAAAATGATATAATTTCACGCAAAACTCCAAAAACGGGCCGGACAAAATTATTGGCACCCTCAACTTAGTATTTGGTTGCACACCCTTTGGAATAAATAACTGAAATCAATCGCTTCCTATAACTATCAACAAGCTTCATACACCTCTCAACTGGAATTTTGAACCACTCTTCTTTTGCAAACTGCTCCAGGTCTCTCATATTTGAAGGGCGCCTTCTCCCAACAGCAATTTTAAGATCTCTCCACAGGTGTTCAATGGGATTTAGATCCGGACTCATTGCTGGCCTCTTCAGAACTCTCCAGCGCTTTGTTTCCATCCATTTCTGGGTGCTTTTTGAAGTATGTTTGGGGTCATTGTCCTGCTGGAAGACCCATGACCTAGGACACAAACCCAGCTTTCTGACACTGGGCCCTACATTGTGGCCCAAAATCCTTTGGTAAACAACCCCAAAACATCTTTGAACCTCCACCATGTCTGACTGTAGGTACAGTGTTCTTTTCTTTGTAGGCCTCATTCTGTTTTCAGTAAACAGTAGAATGGTGTGCTTTACCAAAAAGCTCTATCTTGGTCTCATCTGTCCACAAGACGTTCGAATTTCTTTGGAACTTGATTGGGGCTGCTTATCCACCATCCAGACTATCCTGTGTTGCATCCTTTCATCAATTTTTCTCTTCTGTCCACGTCCAGGGAGATTAGCTACAGTGCCATGGGTTGTAAACTTCTTATGTTGCGCACCGTGGACAAAGGAACATCAAGATCTCTGGAGATGGACTTGTAACCTTGAGATATTGATATTTTTCCACAATTTTGGTTCTCAAGTCCTCAGACAGTTCTCTTCTCCTCTTTCCGTTCTCCATGCTTAGTGTGGCTCACACAGACACACAATGCAAAGACTGAGTCAACTTCTCTCCTTTTTATCTGGTTTCAGGTGTGATTTTAATATTGCCCACACCTGTTACTGGCCACAGGTGAGTTTGAACGAGCATCACATGCTTGAAACAAAGTTATTTATGCACAATTTTTGAAAAGGTGCCTATTTTTGGAGTTTTGTGTGAAATTATATCATTTTTTTTTGTGTGTTGTTGTTGTTGTAATTGCAATAATTGTCTGGGAGAAATACTTCATGAACAAAATTTCAGGGGTGCCAACAATTTTGGCCATGACTGTATGTATCATCATGTGTATGTATGTACAGTATGTGTCTTCATATTGTCTATATATATATATATATATATATATATATATATATATATATATATATATATATATGTACACACACACAGAGTAAAACCTCCTATCTCCGAGATGGTAACTTTACAGGAGAAGGAAAAAACCTACTTTACTGTATAATGGAAGTCAATGGAACGAGAGTTTTTTTCCAAGCCATTTTGGATCGTTTCTTTTGGTCCATTCATCATGAAATTTACACACAATATAAAGAACGCAGATACGAGGTTTTCTTCCAACAGCAGCGATATATTGTTTACGTGTTCTTTTTTAAAGATAACGGTTCTATATAGCACCCAAGAGGGTACAAATTTCACCAAGCTTGACATCATAACAATAGAAGAACCAGTTTTTGGTGCTGTATTAGAACCATTTTCAAATTATTCTATATTCTCCATCAATCTGAAGAAAATTTCACTATGCAATAAACCATTGAAACATGCAAATGGTTCTATAAAGAGCCACTGTCTTTACTAAAGAACCACCTTTTTAAAAAGTGGGCACATTTACAATATATGTTTTATTTTTTGCCCTAATTTAATAAACGCAAATAAATACAAACTGTGCACTACATTTTGCAAAAATGGCATATTTGATTTGAAATCAACACAACCTGCAATTTAAAGCTGTTTAAAGATGTAAACAGCTATATATGTATCATCAATTCAGGTATTATTAGATTAATGAAAGTCTAATGTAAAAATAATGATAATAATAATAATAATAATAATAATAAATAGTAAAATAAACTGTTAATTGCCTCATTACATTAAAAATACTTTGTCATGGCTTTATCATCACTGATATGATCTGATTCAGTTTACTGACCGTCTAAAAGCAGTTACTGAGATGTAAGTGACAGATTATATTAGTTACTATTAGAGCTTCACTGAGCTGTAAATCATAATGCAGCCTGTTTACAGATGTTCTTGAAGCTGTTAAAGCAGCAGATCTGATCCCAGCGTGGCTCAGTCTGACCATAAACCACACACAGCTTATCCATGTAAATGGTAGGACGGAACCACTGAGGGACAGAGAAGCAGAACCACTGATTCTGACTGTAAAAGGGGGGAAAAGATGAGGTTTAGGTTCATGCTGTGGGTGTATTGAGCTAAAAGGATTCACTGTAAACCAAATAAGTTAGCAGAATTAAACACTGAAGGCAACCAGTTTACTAAACAGTCTTAATCTCATTAAACTGAGAGTAAAACTTTATAGAAAAATGTGTAAAACTTTATAATACTTACAGGATTCGGGTTTAAATATATAAATACATACATAACCAGCTATTTAATTTAAACAGTAAAATTATGCAGATAATTAATTAAAAAAAAGTAACTGCTTATATATGTATTTATGTATTTAAACTAAAGCCTGTAAGTACTAGAACTCTAGTTTAAGCATTATGCAATACGCAGTTGCTGTTGGAACAAAACCTTGTATTTTTGTCATTTTTAATATGTAAATTCCATACATATGTACTTAAAACCTCATATTTCCATTTTTGACATTTTTCAGTTTTTGACAGAATTTGAAAATCCCTGTTACGCTTTACATTGTGTGTAAATTTCATGATTAATGGACTAAAAGAAATGACCCAAAATGACTTGGAAAAACATCTGGTTCCACTGACTTCCATTAAAAGTAAAGTAGGTTTTTTCCTTCTCCTGTAAAGTTACCATTTTGGAGATTTTGTTCTGACAACAACAACATAAATATAACATCTATATACATGCATGGATGTTTTGCTATATTATATAACTATCATGTTT